TCTATCTATCTATCTATCAGACACTAACTGGTGAGATGTAATGTCAATGTCAATGTAATGTATTAAATTTAAATGTCGTATTTTTAACATTTTTAAACTTTACAGGGTCCATACCTGGAATTAAGGGAATCATTCACAGCACATCCAACAGCAATCTTGAATTTTTTTTTTCTTTTTCTGTAGGCTGAGAAAGAGAAGGATGTCAATGGGGCATGGAAGAAGAAGAATGGGCTGATCCAAAGAGAGAGGCCAGCTGGCAGGGAGTCACCTCAGCAGGTAGACAGCCACATCAGCCACATGAGTAATAGACATGACACTGCGACGCATATACTGCCACTGCTTCATGTGTGTCACTGACATCCTTCTGTAAAACACATTTCTGTGCATGCACCTTTAGGCTGTCATTAATAATGTATTCATGGTTATTCAACATGAACAGATGCCAGGTGTCAGTAACAAATTGAATGTCTCAAGTGTATCTATCTATATCTATATACAGATTAATCAGTAATAAAAATATGCATTAGTTGCAGCTCCCGAATTAATTATTTCTAATTTCCAGACAAAATTTTTGCCTCTTGCACTACAGTACTGAAATATTTATAGAAGTAGAATCTCTAAGCTTCAGTTCTGTAATTTAGTTGTGCCCCTAACTATAATTGTTATTTGTTATTTAGTTATTGCATTGTTTAAAGTGCTGCACTTCTGTGCTGGTGTGCATCTGTTTTCATCAAGCTGCTCGAGGTACAATAGGTAGAAACGGTAGCCGCTCATGTACTGGGTTGCAGAAACATGACACCTTCAATACACCTTACTTTTTTTAGCCATTCGTTCCCAGCCTCCTGTTTCCAGTGCTCAGCAGCAGCGGTGCTGGAAATACCTGATCAAGTGTTCATATGCAGGCATTTGCATCCACACACACAAACACATATGATGCACTTGCAGGTGTGCACAGAAGCAAGCACCCAAATACACAAACACAATGACAGTATAAGTCAGCCTCAGTGGAGGGTGGCTACAGAAACCTGACCGGTGTGATCCTGTCTCCCTCAGCACCTTGGAGACATGACCAATGGGGTGCCAGAGACCTCGCTGCAGCATCATGGGCCCAAAGTGTACGGCGTTGTGCAAACGATGGGATCAGACACACAGCAGGAGGTGATGGCGCGTGAGTGGACGGTCAGTCACCTTCACGATGAGATGAAGTACATCAGGGAGGTAAGTGGAAACTAACACAACAAGCAGCCGAGCCTTCATGTCACCTAATCTACTGTAGTGTAGGATATATAGATAATATCTGTATGTTCTGTGTATTTCTATCCAGGTGAGAGATTCTTTAGAGAAGGTGAGAGAGCGGATGTACGGGCAATTCGGAGGAATGCAGCAATCAATGAAGAACCTTTCGCAGGAAATCAGGGTAATGAATAATGTAACACCGTGTGACTGCTCATCAAACTCCAGTTTGTGAAGCTGTAAATAAATGTGAAAATGCGGTGTGTCATGTGTGTCTGCAGGCTGCCAATTCACAGCGAAGGAGTCTGGAGTCAGAGGTGAGGATCCGGACGACAGCCATGGAGAGCTTTGATCAGATGAACAGCTCCCTTATATCTGCTAACATCAGCCTGCAGGTAAAAAATCAATGTCAATGAACCAGTGAAGATCTCCTCCGTGGCAGCCGCATGCCATCACAGAAAAGACTGACTTCATAAGTAAAAGAAGTTTCCTTTGCAGAAATCCCTTCTGGAGAACTGTCAGAACAGAGTGGACAGGAGAGAGGAGGTGAAGAGTTTGCGAAGCACCTGTGAGAAAACACAAGAAAAACTCAGAGATAAGGAGAAGGAGCTGGCTGCCGCACAGGCTGAAAACCAGACTTTGAGGCTACAGGTAATCCTGCATACACATCTCTTTGTGTGCACACATTCACACACACACACACACACACACACACACACCCTCATGCAGTCACAAATTTAAAAACATAACGATGGAAGTATGTCCTCCGCCACATTAACTGAGATACCTGTCACCCAGCTGGTGTGATGAGTGGGTGCTCTAATGGCCTGATGCAAAATGGTCTGATGAGTCAGTAACAGTGGGGCACTGCATGACAGCTAACAAAGAAATGTGGGAACGCTTCACATGTAGAAATTATTCTTTGCCTGAAATCATATGTTTTTAATCAAAGGTAAAAATAAAACTTAACTGATTATCAATATAGTCCCGAAAGTTAATCTATGGTTTCAGTCTGTGTAATGACCAAACTCTCCATTAGAGCAAATAACCCCAATTTAAAATAATTAAAACAAATGAGTAATAGTTGGTAAATCAGCGTGTTTTATCTGCATCTTATATTCTAGTGTGAATATGGAATAATCAGCCTCACATAGTCTTAATTTCGGCTGTGCTGTGAATTGTCCAGGTGGAGTCTTCACGGGAGGCCAACACTCAGGCGCTGCAGGAGCTCTCAGCAAAGCTACAGCAGGAGTATGAGGAAAAGCTGCAGGAGGAACAATGGAAACACAGGGAGGAGATTGAAAACCTACAGGTCTGCATTCTTTAGTCTTTATTCACCATCATGCACATATAGTTTCAATGTCAACAGAAACTAAAACATATGGGTTATAAGAACAGGATAGATGTGTGATGATAACTCAAGATGTCTCAAATATTTTTGGTTCTGACACATTTGACAGATTTGAAAGATTATGATGCAGTGTGAACGTTCATCCAAAAATGACTACTGTACATTCCTGATAATTTGATGAGCCGTTTTAAAGGCAGTCCAACGTCTAAACTGAAATGTATTTCTGTTCACACAGGCTCAACTCGATGAGTACATCAGGCGACTAGAGGAAGCAGAGAGCAACATCAAGATTGCAGAAGCCAAGATTGCTGAGAGGGACCAGAGGATCCTAGAAGTGGAGCGTCTACTGGACTGTATGGGGAAAGTAAGGAACATTTGAACTTAACAAAAGGCTATCTGCACTATTTGCACACAATAAAAACTTAAAATAAAAAATATTTCTTACAGGAAAAGAGTCAACTCCAAAAAAAGCTGCAGGAATCTGAACAGCGTCTCCGCTTGTTGGAGCTGACGGACAAAACTGATGCAACTGCAGCCAAACGGTACAAAAAGGATGTCCTCATAAACAAACACCAGGATGACAAAACAATCCCAACTCGAGGTGCATTCACTAGCTTTCTTTTTGAACTGTATCACACAGTCTTCATCAGTAGTTGGAGTTTTCTAGGTTGTCATGAAGTTGCATCTGAAGATGTTTAAGAGCACCTTGAGTTGAGATTGTTTTGCATGGGCTTAGGGTTTGCATTAGGGTTTGTATCCTTGATCTGAGAAGCTGCTGACTTGGCTGCCAATTTTTGGAAAATACAAGGATTTATATGGGTTTAACTGGTTGTTGTTGGTCCTGTTTAGGTCCAAGGAGCTGCAGTCTGAAACTGTGGATCTCCGTGAGAGAATCAAACACTTGAACGACATGGTGTTCTGCCAGCAGCGGAAAGTCAAAGGAATGATTGAGGAGGTTAGGAGTGTTTATATATCTGTGCGTGAATACTGTCCAGTCACAAGCATTAGCTGTTCTTTTCTAATTATGTTTTGATAATGGGCGTGGATGATGGATACATACCTCAGCTGAAGTAGTAGAAGTTTGTCTCCAGAGTATGGTTGAGTTGCACATAAGCAATATAAACTTCATCTGGCCCAGAGTCAATAAAAGGTGGAGTGCCATGGTGGCCTAGTGGTTAAGATAGACACACATAATGTGCAAATAAAGGGTAAAGTATTACAGTGACACCATTCAGTATCCATCATATCTTACAGGATGATTCTTGAAGTGTTGCATGGACCGTTTCTTGCTGTAATTGTATTTCTGAATAATTTCCAAGAAGATTCCTGGCAATAACTATGTAATAATGTAGTATATAGGGAAGATAGCGGCAGTGCTTAATTAGAACACGTCTTATTATTAATAATGAATTATTATTGCATCTTAGAAACTCTGAAATGCACAGCACCCAAACCTCCAGCAACAACTATTTAAAATTTGTCTACAGGCAAGTTTCCAATTAAAATGAATAATGTTTGGTTTGAATGCAGCTTTTCTTTCCATTCCTATTTTGTCTAAAATTAGCATCAAATAAAAATTATTTCAAGGAAACTTCTAAGAAAATAATCAGAATCAGCTTTATTGCCAAGTAAGTTTTCACATACGAGGAATTTGCCTTGGTACATTGGCGCATAAGAATCACAATCAAGCATAGAAAAACATACACAAAGTATATTATTGTGTCAGTGCTTATTTTCATCTATATAAAAGAATTACAAAAATATTTTCTATTATATTACATAAAATATACAGGATTGTATGAATAGTAGCAAATATAAGCAATAAAGAAATTAATTAAAATAAAAAGTAAAAGGATAAAATTCATGTGCATTTACAAAATGAAGGAGAAATAAATTGAAATCTAAATATAAGAATAGGAGCACAACTCAGATAAGAAATTCTCGGAGCCATCCTTATCGTTCTAAAAACATTATTAGGAAGTTACACACTTACTGCCAGCAATCAACATGCAAAGATAACAATGTTTGATGGAATCAACGAAGCAGAGATCTGACTGAAAACACATAATAATTGTTTTCAACTGAACTCTTTGTGAAGGTTGAATCACTGCGAACTAAAGTGGCTCAGAAGGATATGTTCATCTCGGAGCTTCTGGACAGAATTGCAATAGTGGAGTGTGAGGTAAGACGAATACTTCTCTGTGTGCTTATGCCTGTTTCAATCATGGTGTGGTGTGGCAATCTCCTGCATGGTGGCACATGATTGCCTTCGCTGCTGAGCGCTGGATATCCTGAGCTTTCAACGATGTCTGTGTGGTTTCCTCGTGTCACTACACCTATCACATCCCTTTCATGTGTAAAGTGACTTCGATCCTTTGCATGTGTCTGACCTGACAGTGTTGTTTCCTCTTTTCCTTTTCCTAGAATAATGAATTAGAAGACAAGCTGAAGTATTTTATGTCCACACAGAATAGGCCACGAGAGTTTTTGGAAACCAGGGAGATAGGAGTAGGCTGTGATCTGCTCCCCAGGTAAGAAACAAAGTTGGAAAAGATATTTGGCTGATTCGGGTTATATTTGGTGCTTCATTTGGAGGTGGTTTTCTCACTCTGATGTGTGACTGTGCACCTGCAGACATGAAGCACAGAGGCATGATGTTCAGCGTGAACCAACTCATCTCCATCCCATACAACACCCACCACTTCTTCCACCTCCATCATCAGTGAAACCTCCATCACCAATGAAACCTCCATCACCCACTCAACCCTCATCTCCCAGACAACGTCCACCCCCTATACAACCTCTATCTCCCACACAACCTTCATCTCCCATACAACCTTCATCCCCTACATCCCCCATTCAACATCCATTCCACTACCTGACAACACCCACCCAACCAAGGACATTTAAGTCTAATACCCCTCCGCCCAGCAGGCTGGATTCCAGTTTACTGAGGTACACTCCTGTCCAGTACAGCCGCTTCCTGCAGTCCAATCCCTCAGTAACAAGTGGGACATTCTCCTACACTCGTCCGCCTGCATCAGAGTCTCTTGCGAGTCCGGTCTCATCCGGGAGAGATCAGGTGGACGCAGACACAGACACACAATCAAGTCCAGATGAATCCACTTCATCCTTGTCCTCTTCTCGTCCAAGATCGAGAGCCCCTCAAGTTTATTCACCATTCATGAAACTAATGGAAATAACAGCAAATATTAAAATAGAGTGATCGTGAACCAGTAGTTTGACATTTTGGGAAATACACATTCTCGAGAGTTTGATGATATGTTTAAAATCCCTCTCATTTATTATGGTAAATCTGAAGTTATTGTTAGCTTAGCTTAGCAATAACACCTAGGCTGCAGGCTTTGTTCAAAGAACACAAAACCTACATACCATCAACTCTACAGCTGATTAAAACATTATATGTAATTTGTTTAATTTATAAAAGAAAACACAAACTTCTGTCAAATCTATTTACACTTTAGAGGTGCTGGTAGGTGGATTTTGATACTTGTGGACAGAACAGTAAACAGTTTCCAGTCTTTATGCTCTGCTAAATTATATGTAGCAGCAGTTAGCTTAGCATAAAGCGAATTAATACTTAATGACGTTTATGGTAAACATGTAGCAGCAGTTAAATGTTGTAGTTAAAGCTAACTGCAGTTACATTATTTATCATACGAGAGGTATTAATCCTCTCTTCTATCTCTCAGCAAGAAAGTCAATAAGCGTAATTCATAAAATGTTGAACTATTATTTTAAGTCAATTGTCTTTGGTCTCATTTTATCTTTGATTGATTATCTCTTTTAAACAATAACCATATGTGACTTTTTTTTTAAATAGTCAAAAGCTGACACGTGTTTAAGTCTTATAGTTCAGAATATGATTCTGGTTGATGATGTGAAAAGTCTTTTAGCCGTTTGCACAGAGCACCATTAAAAAAATGTTGGTTGCTGTTAGGTTTAAATAATGTGATGTGCTGTAAAAATATTTTGTAAATAACATACAGAAGGATTATATTTGTTTTGTTTACAGTAAATGTAGCCTATGTTTCCCGTGGAGCATTGAGTCCTATATGAAGGTTGATAAGGTTATTGTGTGTATTTTCCTCATTTTATATTGGCTCTGTACAAATTAAATGAATATTATTTTCTTATTTGTCACATTATGTACAAAAATATTTATTAATATGCTTTGTGCCTTTGTGAACAGCTTAGTATTTGATACTGGTGGTGGGAATGAATCTCTCTAAATTTGGCCACAGGGTTATAATAACAATGTAATATAAAGTGCATTTTTGTGCTAATGATAAAACTGTTCAATCACTTTATAGATATTGACCTTATTGAGGTGACTGCCATTCCTGAGCCACAGGCACAAGTATTATCCAGCTGTTATCTGCACTGCCACAACTGTGTTTGAAAAAGCTTCATGACGTGCCTTTTCCTAAACGATACATATCATAGTGCAACTCATGATAAGAGGCCAGCGTACGTTTGGATAATAAAGACTTTACTGTATAAGTAACCAGACAGACTGATTGTGTCAATGCATGCACTTACATACTGTACAACCTCATTCTCTAAAGCCTTAAGCTTATATATGACTACTTCATTGTTCATTGTGGATCCCAATTTTACACACAAAAGGGCTTGTTTGTATTCCTTCCATTTCTAATGAGACGATTTCCCACTTTTACATAAACGTCATGCATAACCACTGAACTCCAGATCAACCTTATTTAAATATGCAACAGCTCAGTATTAGTTGTATATATTTAGTATGAGTATATTTTGAGGAACTGTCTTCTGTGTGGGGTGCAGATAGTATATTTCCAACATCTCCAAAGAGAGAGAGAGAGGGTGAGGGTCCACAGAAAGAAGAAAACTGCAAAGAGGCCAAATGTTTTACAGTGTCTTGTGTAATCTGACTTGGTACACAGGACTAAATGTCTAATACAAGTGCTTAAGAAGAGAAAGCTGAAACATAATAAATCAAAGGAAAAGTTTATTTTTGAGATTTTGTTCCAGCTGTACAGCTGCAACCAAAAGTTACACTGACTTTGACCTCTGAGAAGGGATATAAAGGACACAGCTGTTACCTCTTGGTTGAAGTTGGGTCATTGTTCGTGGAGCTGAGTGAAAAATGGCTTGGCACAGTGGTTGGGAAACATCCGGACAGGAAATGCAGCTATGGAAAATGTGAGACTGGGAAGCCTGTTTAGGCTGACTGCACTGATTAAAGAGAAGAAAATATCTTATATAAAGAACTGCCTGTCACTCTGAAATGTAAGCTTAGCGCTGATGACTACATTTGACCTGCAGAGGGCAGCAAATCACCTTCTCTGGCTGTGACAGGACGAAGCGGTGCGTTACACCGGCCTGTGCGGCGGGGGGCGCTAGAGCTGCACCTCACATGGTTGATTTCCGCCGTAGAAGAAGAAGAAGCAGAACCCCACTTTGAAATGTTGTTGTCTCATGTTGAAGAAGTGAACCTGCCGCCTTCAGAAACCTCTCTCTAACTACAAAAGAGCCAGTTAACAGGCGGCTAACATGTGATTACAGTTGTACGTTGTTGTTGCTGTTGTTGTTGTTAAACTGAGACGTTCGCTCCTGCTGTTTGTGAATGGCTGTAGCTAGCTGTTATAGCTCACAGTGATGTCCTCGTCGTGGACAGAGCGCCAGGGACAGGTGGGAGACCTCAGACAGCAGAGAAAAGAAGACCTCCGAGAACTGCTCCTGCGACAGGAGAAGATACTCTCTAACCAGTAAGTTCACTCTATCAGCCCCAGTGTGTTCCTCTGTGATGAACAAACTGGGAACCTTTCTAGCTACCTAGCTCTGATGTAGTTTGATAATGTGATGGCAGTATGACAGAATGGATATGTCCTATTTTTTATATTCCTCCCTACAATGAACACATTATATGTATGTTTAATAAAATAGATTAAAACAGCGATGTGAGGCTACTGTTTCTGAGAGAAAATAGTGCAAAGCTTTAACTTTAAACTAGGGATGCACCATGTGGTAAAAAATCATATTCCGATTATTTTGGCAGATATTGACATTGTAATATGATTATAGATTAGTGGGAATGATCCTTTTTGCCCCACAGTTTTCATTTCACTGACAAAACTCTTAAAATCATATTGATTTGATGGGGTCTGAACCAAACAAACCCTTTATCTGGAGAACAAGATTTATAGTCCAGGGTATCACTGTAGCACTACATTATAATGGAGTTTTTTTTTCTCTCCACATATTTTGTCTTTAATAAAATTATCTCAAAAAATTACAGAACAGTGAAAACAGTGCAAAGCTTTGCTGTGTTTATGATACAGAGCCTCCAGTACAATGCTGCAACATAGTTAGACTTAAATGCACACACTGTAGATTTAAATATACACGTTAGATTATCTGAGCCAGTTTTAAATGAAACTATTACGTCAAGTAATATTTGCAGTTGTAATACATTTTTACAATGGGGAAAAAACCGACTGTGGTCAAAATTGTTAGATCAGATAGTAATAGAATATATTATACTATTTAATTATACAACTATTTGAATGTCGGATGCAATATATGCAATTATTTAAGAGAAAATACAGATGGGTGAAAAAGAAAAAAGCTGAATAAATTATAGATAACAAATGCAGATTCTTTTTATAGGGGCTCAGTGAATGGTTTCATGAATATTAAAATGATGTGAGACAAATTATATTTAACCCAAAAGAACACCTACAGGAGAGTTGGAGCGTCTCTACCACCATAATCAAAACACCAAATTAGAGAATTACTCTATCCACCAAGACATTTAATGTTGGTTTATTTGTTTAATGTCTCCATTCTGTATCTTGAATGCTTGTCTTAAACCTAACATGGAACTATGTGTTTGTGTTGTTTGCAGGAGGTTAGTACAGACTCTTCCTGACAAAGGGAAGAAGATCAAAGAGTTTGCAGAGAAAGTGCGCCTTGCCATTGAACACCACGATGAAGAGGAGAGGAGACAGAGCTCGGTGTTTGCTGCCAGGAAAGAGTTACAGTCCAAGTACCAGCAGGCTTTCACTACCCAACAACGTGCTATCCCCCACATACCAGCAGCCTCCCACCAAAACAGGCAAAGTGAGGCTGCTGCAGGCGATGCGATGCAGGAGACCTCACCTGCCTCAGCTGATGTGCAGGAAAACAACTCTTTGGATGAGCCACAGGAGCAGTTTTTGTCTAGAGCAGCTGCTGGTGAAACCATGGAGACCACTGCTGCTGGGTCCTCTCTGAACTCTGATGAGACAAAAGAGGGTGACCTTGTGGAGGCCTTAGAAAGGGTCAGACTGTCTGAAACGTCCAAAGACCCATTAAACAGCACAGCAAGAGACAATTACTTTCTCAAACAGCAGATACCAAAAAAGCCTCACTATGTAACTGTCCTGGAAAGAACAGAGAATACTTCAACTCACAGAAGGCAAAAATTCAAACCAAATCAGTGAGTGATTTATTTTTGTAAACCATTAAAACAATATATATTATGTTGCTTTCTTTCATAGTTCTTATTAGTTATTTAATTCTAAACATCTCAATTGTGTTTCCAGGCTGTCCCACAGAAGTGACATCTCTCCCTCAGGATCCTCATCACCGAGTCAGTCCTCTGAAGGCTCATCACCTCTGTCTGCACAAGCCAAGAAGGAGCGGGACAGAAAACACCTGGATGACATCACTGCTGCAAGACAGCCTCTTCTCCATTACAGTCCAGCCCAGCTTCTGTCTCTGGATGAGTCGGCTGTCCTCCTGAAGGAACAAGCCAAGAAGCAACTCGTAAGTGCTGTCTTCTACTACCCATTTGTCCTATATTTACACTGTATACATTAAACTGTGGGCAGACATTTTATGATGTAAATGTAGTGTTCAAATTACTAATAAATGTGCTCTTGCATGCATTAAATTGGCCACCAAAGTGACAGATGGACTTGCATTGTGGTGCAACAAAAGTTTTTTTTCTGGAGCCCTGTGTCGGCAGCTCTGGACTGGCCTCATTCAGATGAATGAAAGGGCTGCTCACAAGCAAAGAGTTTATACAGTGGTGACTTGTGACATTTTCTTATCTAATCAAATGTGGTATTAAAACAATGAATGTGAAGTCCACATCAGATCCCTTCACCAGCTCTAGAGGGCAGCGTTCAGGCAGTGTAGGCATCGTGTATCACTTCACATCTAGAGTAATGACTTCAGAGCCAAACGTCAAACAGTGTGCTGTTGTCAACTTAAGGAGGCCTGTTAAGCTTATTATCAGTCCTACTTTTGTTGAGGGTTTAACAGCTACGGCTGTGCTGCTTTATTATAATGTGCTGGTTTTCTGTTCACCAGCCTATTCATGTCAACTTTTTCTCTGTGTTGTGTTTAATTTCAGGAGTTGCAGGCCAAGCTGGCAGCCCAGAAACTGTCTGAGGGACTGAAGATCTCTATGGGGAGCTACACTCCTGATGGTGGCCCCATGGCTGCCTACAGAGAGGTTCACGATGAAGGAGCCCAGCTCTCCTCAGAGGAAGACTGATCCTGGAAGGCCAGAGCTGGGGAAACCAGTGTGACCTTGGCCCTGAGGGAAACAGGCTTTGGACCTTGCAATCGGGACCCATCAAACAGGATTTTCCCTCCAAGGACAAGGATTCTTAAGAGAGGAAAAGGGTCTTTGCACGGTGTGAAGGCAGTGTTGGTATCCCAGACTCAGCTCAGGAAATTGAATGGCAGGTTGAGAAACTAGCTTACTTAGTTCTCATTCAGTCTGTATTGGCCTCAGTTGTTTCAGTGTCCTTCAGGAATAATAATACTTGCTGTTGAATAGGAGTTTTTATATTCACAATTTTAAGCAAATGTTTCTTGTCAGTATACTGAAACTGATGATGTCATGGTTTTTTGAGCCTGAGGGTATTGTGTATTGTATGATGATTTTTTATTTTAGTGTGTTAAAGATTATATGCACTTAAACCTTAACAGGAGGTGTAGCAGACTGTTTTGGCACAATGGTAACCGTTTACAGTTTTGTCCAGAAAAATAAACATGAGATTGGAGATTTAATTATTACAAAATGTGTAACAGAATTTAATAAAAAAGATCTGATTTCCCAAATATTTGTGTTTGTGTCAGGGTGACAATCCAAATCCTTTTTTTTTCTGAATTGCAGACAATGCGAAGTACCTCCATCAGCTTTTTCGGATGGATGAAAATTGATCTATTGAAAGTATAATTTCTCTTCACTAATATAAAACTGCTCACCCATGAGAGCATCAGGAAAGTTCTTGTTTTTAACTTATTTGACAATCCAGTTTCTTCAGCAGAGCAAGCCTCAGGTCTGTCAGCAGTTACCAGTGTGCTGTTGTTTCTAGTGGTCTGTGGAGACGTATCATCAAGAAAAGCAGGATAGGCGAGTAGGAGGCCTGAACCGAACTCTTAACCTGCCCACAAGTATGAATCATACAGTATAGAATATATTGTATGTATAAAAATCGCTCTAAAATCTCTGAACTGCACATCATTTATTTATTTTTATTTAAGTCTTTATACCAGTGCTTTTCAAACAGGGATCCGGGGACTGACAAGGGTCCTTTAGTGGGTTGTAGGGGGTCCCCAGCAAAAGAATAAATAGATAGTAAGTATATATATATATATATATATATATGTATATGTATAGTAGAATATTTTAGCTCTTATCAGAATTTTTGGAAGCCACAAGGATAGGATAAGGTTAGTCGTTTTGATTGATTACAGTAGTATAGTTTTATAGTGAGAATTGTTTTCAAACCTAAAAATAATAAAAAAAATGCAATAATATATATTATATAATATAAGAGGAGATAACAACAAAATCCTGGGGGCCCTTAAAGAAGTTTGGGAACCCCTGCTTTATATTTTAAATTATACATTAGTTGTGATGCTGAGAAGAGAAACTGTAATAATGTGATTATTATAGTATTGTACTGTGTAAATGTAACAATTTATGTTAATAGTTTTATTATAGAGTTAGATTAGACTTTTAATGCACCACAAAATTGTGCTTAAGTCCAGCACTGGGGTTACTTACTGTTTGCCCTACATGGATTATTTAAGTTTCACTATTTTCTGACTTTCAGATGGATGTAACTAAATTCACTGTTAGGCTTCCATTTTTTTGCTATTTTTGTGAGAGATAAATCTGCAAGGTGATACCAATTTCAATTTGTAGTGAAGCTGTGGTCAGCTGCAGACACTGATTTTCTAAAATCCTGTGAGATGTTATCAGGCAGGGATCTGTGACACACTTGATAAGATTAATGCAGGGTTAGTGAAATATTGAAGCTTGATGGCTGAGACATCTGGACTGCATTTGGAACGTGTTGTTGCTGGGAATGGCAGGCGATGATGGGACGGCAGCAGGCTAATGCAACATGGCAAATACCATTTCTCAACTTTGCTAATATGTGGTAGATAAGAAGTGCCAGGTACATTCAGCATATTTCCAAACTGCCTTTCCCATCAGCTCTCTTCCAACTCTCGCAATAGAAGACTGCAGGCCATCGTAATTCAAACAGCCTGATTCAAGGATTTTAATGAGGAAGAAAGAAGGCACTGAGGCACGTTTTAGGGGAAATGAGGGTGGGTTCATATAGGTCAGAGTCTGGTGGTAGATGCTCCCTGATAACCTTTGGTAATTTTTGCTGAGGCATTGGTGGGAGATGTTTAAAAAAAATAAAAAAATAAAAAAATCCCATCTGATTGCAGTGCATTTAGACACTATCTGATGGGCTCCAGAGTGGCCCTGTGGTGACGTCTAATAACAAATACATGAGCACGCTCCGCAGAGGATCCTCATTGTGCTGGGATTAATTACAGCCTACCTTGCTTACATAAATTCAGAGACTGTTACCAATTATGGGGCACATTTTTGACGTAGCTTTTCTCTGTGGTATCTGGCATCAAACCTAACTCTGAACGTATGTTGATGCTGTTAAGGTGGAACCAAGCACACACTCTATATAGTCAAAGCTTTTTTACATTGTCCATTGATGATGAGGTTGTTTATACTTCAACTTGAATCCCAGACCCCTTGTCTCAGATTAATAAGCTCCTCATGAAGTAGTCTGCAAGTGATTTGCTCCAACTCTGAGTCCGAAATCACACGTCTCACGGGAGTAGAAATAATTTGCTGTTTGGGAGGGGAAACTGGAATGTGATTTCAAAACTACCTCTTCAAAGACCAGTCAGCTCAGCCTTAAATTAGATATACAGTATGATGTATAGACTGGCGTTAAACACGAGTTAGGCCCTCAGCAGAATGATTGGATTATATCTGCCAGGTTACAAAGTCTGAGGTCATTCTTTTTCCATTCTCTGATGTTTTTTTGTCATATTTTGAAGAGATGAAATAATGCAGCACACAGCAGCTTTCTGCAGATAAGGTTACAGCCTATCTCCTCATCCCAATTAGAACCAGCTCTCCTTCCTCTTACTGCACTAGAACTAGCGGTGGAACGTCAGATCCTTCACCAATACAACAATGTAAAAATACTGTTAATTAAAAATCAAACACTTCAAACTAAATGTTATCAGCTGAATATTAAAAGTAGTCCCCATGTGACTGATATACACTATTATTATTATATCTGACTTCATGAGATTGTTAATGCTGTTGCCATAATGTATAAGCAACATTTTACTTTTGCAGCTGGTCAACTACTTTATATATATAAAAAAACATTCTACTACACAAGGTTACATTCATTTTGGGGATTTTCTCAAATATTTGCATTTTTGTATAAAAGTACTGAATATTTTTCCTCTTTGGGACTCAGTAAGTTATTTAAAAAACCTCCTGAGCAGGTTAAAGTGTAAATGTCTCTTTGGTGGACCTGCTAACAACCTAAATACATCTGAAACTCAGCAATGAGATCCAACTGGAAGGATTCAGAAAGAATTGTTTGAAACCATTGGTTTATGTTTTATGAGATAAGATTACCATATGGTTTTTAAATTAAAATCTTAACTATAGCTGTTAGATAAATGTAGAGAGGTAAAAAGCACTAGACTAGAACTAAGTCAAGTGAACGTTTTTTTTTACAAAAAATTATCCACTGATATTTTGAAAGGTGCTGTACTTATCTCAAAGTGTGGAGGACAAACCTCACAGCAGGTTGGAGAAAGACAATGCAGCTCATTTGTGTTAAAGCTGAACAAATGTTGTATATGCAAATGCCTTGAGCTGTGAATGAGAAACAATCTGTGTGATTTCAGTGCACGTGGATGTTCTTTTGACGCGGAAACGGAGAAAAGTAAATACTTTCCTGACAGGACTGCGCTGAGGTCTCCAGTTATCTCTCCATGAAACGTGTGTGTGAGAGGAAGCTTGCACATAGTTCATGTCATGACTGTCGACTGCCTGAGGAAGCTTGATATGTGGCTGCAACATTCATGAGAGTCTTGCAGCTGTCTCACAAGTAATGTAGATAGGAAAATATTCCCTGACTGGTGGGTAAATCTGACAGAGGTGTCTTGAACTGAGTGCCTGTCGTAAAACATGGTCATGGGAATAGTTTATTGCATTTTTACATTCTTAAGATTAAGTTGTTTTTTTTAACAGACACAGCTAGTTTTTTTGCATGTGTCTGGTCAAAGTGCACTATTTTTTGTCACTGCTTGTCTGTTAAACACTGCACTCAGACACTGGCATTACAGTACATTAGTATCAGACCATGTTTTGTTCATTGTTGTTTGAACTGTACCAGGTGTTTACAGAGATTGGGCACATGCTTGCCACAGTTTTACAAAACTTTGCTGATTTGTAAATGCTGCTTTTTTGCTACATATTTTAACTCAATCCTATCTCACTGAAACACTATATGTGTGAATAATTGACCTTATGGATGCTAACAATTTTTATCTTGCTGGTCCCTCTCTACAAATGTGTCCATGTGGAAGATTTTCTACAGAAATTTAAATTGTAAATGGACCTCCAGCAGCAGAGTATAACAGAAAGCTGAGCCGGTTCAGTCTCCCTGTTCAGTATCCTGCTACTCATGAATATCTGTTCTTATCTCCACACACTATCCCTTCCTGCATGGTTGCTAGCTCATACTACTATACTAATAGTAATTACCATGTACTACATAGTAGTAATATTTAACATATTAAAGAGTTTCAGGTCTCATAAAATGGCAATCATCAGTGTACCACACAATTGTGCAGCACTGCAGTATTGTCTTGCATTCCACATCTGGATAAGGAAAGGTTGCACATATCCAATTTCCCCCCCTTATTACTATAAAGTAAAATATGCATAAGGTTAATAGTTTTCTGTTGCCATAGTCCCTTGTTGTCACTCATTAGACAAACTCAAAGTTTTCAGCCTTCGACTATCTGTGAACACAGTGAATGTCTGTGTGGCCACTGGCTGCCAAGGTGTTGTTTTTGTTTTTACACATGGTAAACTGTTGAGTGTGAAAATCTCAGTAGCGCTGCCGAATTTCACACTTTTAAATGGTTAGAATAAAAGGTCATGTCTTACATCCTTTTTAAAGATGTCTTCTTCATCTCCATCCACTTATAATGAATTGGATTTAATTGGTGTAATTAACAAGCAATTATAGCTTCAAGTTGAATTTCTTTCAGTTTCAGAGCGAGAACATGTGCTTCTAATAATCTGTAAAGCACAATAAAATACACATTCACTGTTATTTTATTGTACACGCTGTTGTTTTTATTATAAGACAGAGTTTAGTCCTTATTATTCCAACAACACATTTTTCCCAATAGTTAACTGACTACCAGGTTTAATATAAGCACAGTGAAGCAGCCCTCAGTGACATAAGAATGTCACAACTCAAGCGTTATGTGTTTCTTTTTCCTTGGAACAATGTTTACAGTTCAAAAGTCATAAAACTGACCACAAATGGAAAAGGCATGGCATAGCTGTAATGAGTTATCCTTGTGTAGTCACATCTTGTAGCAGATGGACTACGTGTTTATTTTACCTCTCAGCAGGTAGTACTTATATTTCAACACTGGATGGCAGTAGTGTATCTTTGTTCTGTCTCTGCAGCCTGAGATCTAGTTCTCATGTCAAATTTTCATGCTGAATCTAAAAAACAAAGAGTTGT